CTTTCATGCCAATGCCACAGAGCCACCCCCTCCCTTAAATCCATCCCCGCTTCTCAGAATCCTTCACTATCCTGAAGTCCTGGGCAATGTCCCCTCTCTATATATCTGGCTTGGGCATAACCCCATTTCCATGGGACTTAGTCCTCCGTGCCTCAAATCCACCTTGGCATAGGTAGACCCCCCTCCTCTAAAGGCCCAGCTATGAAGATAGTCCAGCCTAGAAAGGATCCAATAGCCGTTGCTTGTCCCTAGAGGATATGGGCATCACTGTTAGGGGATGAAAAGCATTCACCATTGATAATGGCAGGCTTGGAGCATGGGACAGGGGTGCAGAGAGCTGGGGCAGAACGGTGTCCTGGGAGGATAGCAATTCACCCTCTGTTTCAAGGAAAGGGAAAAAAGGAGGATCTGGGAAATTATAGATGAGTCGGCCTGCTGCTGGTACCCAGAAAACTGCTGGAACAAATTAGTAAGGCCACCAAGCGGTAAACATTCAGAGGCAGTGCTGGGGCTGAGAACACAGATTTAGCAGGAACAAATTGTGTCAAACCAACCTAATTTCCTTTTCACTAGAGTGACTGGCTGGGTAATATAGGGAAACCAGGAGTGATACTATCTTCGTGCAGCCTTACATGACATTCTCATAAGCAAATTAGGAAATTGGAAATTCTCACCCGGTGGTTAGACAGCTACCTATCAAACTATATCCCAAGAACAATTGTCAATAGCTCACATGCAGACACTTCAAACAGGGTTTCTCTGGGAAAAGGAAGTGCATGGCTCGAATGAAGGCAAAATGCAATTTGGGAAGGGTGTGGGGGCCTTCTGGGAAAAGGGTGGAAATCACATTCACCCTGATGAGCTGGATAAAAGAGCAAAAATGCCCCCTCCCCCAAGAAATTCCAGAAAGAGAAGTACAAAGCCTCCATGCTAGAGAAGAAAATGCATGGAGCCAAACTGGGATATCACCCACACAGGCCAGGCTCCGAAATGCCGTGGCAGTGGGACACGGAGAGGTGCTGTGTGCGTGGAGCTGGTGGGATACCACTCGTGGCCCAAGGTCCTGGCTGGGGGCAGCCAGCTCAGCATGGTGGCATCGGGACCAGGACGAGGTTTGTCCCCACTCCCTGCTGAGGCCAGGCTGTGCTGGCACCTGCAGGATCACTTTTCTTTCCAGGGTGAGCGCTGGCAGGTGGCAAGGTGCTTGGGCCACGCCAGGAGGTGTGTGCAAAGTGGAACAGGACGTCAAAGCAGTTTCGGCTCTGTGGGCGGTTCTGGGAAAGTCCCTTTAGCAATAGCAAATCAAAGGCTTTAATAGAGGGAGCAGCGCTGGGCCCCTTCTCAGAGATGACTCCAAGGTCTCAGCACACCCTGAGTTGTGATTTGAGTCGTGTTGCCATGATGTAACAGGGGGCTGATTTCCATGGCAGTGGGGTTTCAGCAGCAGGGCCTGGTCCTCGTGCCAGGGCTCCTCTGCGAGCCACGTTCCCAAGGCAGGAACGTTTTGGGGAAGGGGTCCTTGGTGGAGAGCCTCCCTCTGCCCTGTGGCAGCAGCTTTGGGAAGGAAGAGTGGGGCTGAAACCACAAATCCCCCAGATGAAGCAATCGGTTTGTCTGGATGAATATGGCAGTGCCTTGAGAAAGGGCTGCTTCCCTGGTTCCCTGGGGGTCTTCTGCTGAAAATAGCTTGAGGTGTTTAATGCAGATGCATCTGCTATTGAAGTAAATAGGAGAAGTCAAAACTCTTTGATCTTCCTTGGATTCAGCCCCCCGGAGTAAATCTCAGCCACCAGCACGGGAGAGTCCAAAGAGACGGTCAGATTGCCACAGCGTGGGTGGCCCCATCCCAGTCACCCTATGGCTAGTGGCTCTCCTACCCTGGCCCTGGGGCCTCTATGCCCTGAGGGGTAGCAGAGGGAGGACGCTAACTATGAAGATAACCCAGCAGCCCTGGGGGTGAATTATCAGTTCCTCAGTTCTCTCCCTCTTTCTGCACGAGGAGATTCCATGCCCCTGGAGGTCCTCTCCTTTGCAGTGAGATTGTGGCAGAGACAGCTGCATTGCCTGCCCTGAGCTCTGGTGCGGCCACCTCATTTGCCAGGGGTATAAAAGGCTGGGCAGATGCGGGCACTACTGCTTTGGCTCATTTGATACTTTAGGGAAAACTACAGGAGCCCTGCACGTGCAGCTGTGGGATATGCTGCCATCGGGGCCCCCATCCTGGCCCTGACCCTGTGGGATGAGGCTCTCTGAGCCGGCGGTTTAGTCCTCCCCTGTCTTGCAGGTACTTAGTGGTGATTTGCAGTATTAGTAAGTTGCCTTAACATGGGGTGATGCCTGGGTGCTGCTCTGCAGGCTGTAGAAAGCCAGCTAAACCCTAGGCTTGGACACCTCTGTCTTAAATCCCCCTCTTAACAGGTGGGGGTTTTCCAGGGGGCTGAAGGGCCTGCATAAGCCGGGTGCTCTCAGGGCTGCAGCTGCAAGGCTGTGCGGTGGCTCCTGCCCGCGGTGGGGTCAGCTCTGCCCCTCACTCCCTCAGGAGCTGTCACGGCTCGCCCAGGGATGGGGAAGAGCGCACAGGAGAAACAGCTGTTTGTGCTGCCCAGGCACGAGGAGAAGCGGTCTGGGATGCACCTTGTTTTTTCACTTGCATTGCTCGGGGGGTCCCAGCTGCAGGCTGGCCCTGCTCCTTGGCGCTTGGGAGGAGGAAAGAGAAGAAAGCAGAAGACTGGCTCTGCCCCAGGACCCTGTCACCTCTCTCAACTCTCCCAGAACGCGCAGTGCGTGTTGCAAAGGCGCTAGAGAGCTCTTGGTACAAAGGACTTACTAGTTTTTCCCTTCCAGTAGCAAATATCAAAGGCTCCTCGCCGTCCTGCAGTACTTATCTCCATTCCTGAGATTTGTAGGACAAGTCTGATTTGCCTGGTGCTGTTCAACACCCTCTTGTCACCGCTGCTGCCAGCTGCATGAGATGCTGTGCTGCTCCCTGGAGGTGCCAGGTGTTGTGGCACTATGTGCATCCTCACTCCCCCTTCCCTTAGACAAAATATCCACAGGTGATGTCCCTCACTGGCGCTGGTTTTAGCTCAGCTGAAATATGTGGATCAGAGGCAATTCTGTATTTGTTCAGTGCTTTTTCTTAACCCTCCCTTAACCTGCCCTTGAGCGTAACGCCTGGACCAGCTGCAGTGTGGAGGCCACCGCTGTTCTCACTTGCGGCCACATAAAAATGAGGCTGAGCTCTGAATGGTGGGTGGATAATTTTGGTCCTTTCCATTTTTTATTTCTTTTTCTGCTTCAGGGTGTGAAATGTATCCGTCTACTTTGAAAATTGTGGCTGGCTGTGACCACTCTCTGTCCTTGACAACTTCAGGCTATAGCCATACCATTAAATTATGCCTGTCCAAGATGTGTCTAACTCCTCACCAGCGCAGACATTGGCACCCAGTGCCCTCAGCTGTTCCCTTGCACCGTTTAATTCACTGATCACTGGTGGCCTCAGCAGGTCTCGCTCCCCCCAGCAACTGCTGCCCCAGGCCAGCAACAAGGCAGGGCCAAGCTCTGGCACTTCTGCGTGGGAGTCACCTGGGCTTTTGGCCTATGTGACAAGCCCCAATGGCTGCCATGGGGACATGCTTCATTCGAAGCCAATGTGAAATATTTTCAGTCTGATTCTCAGATCCTTCTGCCCTGTTTAAACAGATGTCTGTTATACTGCAGACTTCTTATCCTACAGTCTTTAAATTAAATCCTCCTGGCTTCTGGGAGCTTGAGTGAAACTCTGGGGTTGGAATTTTCTGCTCTAGGAGCTTGACCTGAAGAGCTGTGATTTTTTTCTACGGTAGCTTCGCCCTCAACAGCCACCTGACATATTTCCTCTGAGGCTGGGCAGGTTTCGCCAAGCTAGCAGACAGTGCAGTTTGGGGGGTTTTGTACCCTTTCTGTGCACAGGATTGTATCCTCCAAAAGCTTCAGACTAGATGAGATGGTTTGCTTTCCATGGGAAGCTGAAGTTGCTTTATCAGATTCCACATCCTCCCCTAATCTCTCTCTCAAAGACAGTTATCTTCTAGCCTCTTTCCTAACCAGCTTCCTATCCTACATTGCTCCCAGTGGGATGTCTGGGGGGATCTGGACATGTAGCATCCTTCACTGCTCCTTGCAGATCAGAAGCGGCAGTGGGAAGGTTGGACACGTCACGTGGCAGAGAGAGGAGAGCTCGGAAAGAGCCAGCTGCAAGCAGCCCACGGTGGGTTTGCAGGCTCTCCCCACTGGCCCGCACCGGCTTCACCTCCCTGTTGTGCACTCGGCACAGAGCACAAATCACCTGTTTCAATTTTACGTGACGTGTTGGCCTCCTCTGCCGTGTTGGCCTCCTCAACTTTCCACTGCATGGTTTCACATCAGACCTCTTCTACCTGGGTTCACTGAAAGCTTTTAAAAACAGTCCCTGTTCGGTGGCAGCTCTTGAGAGTGATAAGGCCACCTCAGGCTTGTCATCTGCTGAATCGTATGTTTTCAGAAGATTTCACTTTCATTATCCCATGCTGGGCACAATTTCCACACATCTCCCCGCATTGCCATGATATCGGTAGCCATGGCCAGCCCAGGCAGAGGTTTGCGTTTTTAAAGTCTCTGAGTAGAGACAGATCTGTGTCATGAGAATTACTTCAGCAGGGTCCTCCCACATCCATACCTCATGTGCAGAAACTCATGGGGCTTGGGGAGACCTTGTCTTTGCTTCTATCTGTCTGGTACCTGATGCTGCATCAGTAGATCCTGTCGGCGCAGGAATCAGGACAGGGCAGCACTGCTCATGAGGGAGCAAAGGTTCCCCTTCACAAGCATAATGACTTGACTTTGAGCCCACGAGGAAGCAAAAGTCCAAGAAAAGAAAGTTACTCACAGGTAGAAGCACCCAGAAGCTGCAAGCTTGACCTCGGTCTACGACAGTGTGGTGGACCCTCGTCCCTGCCACTTCCCCAGCTTCAGGTGGGACCATGAAGACCTGGCAGGACATTTTTATGGAGAAGGTGAAAGAAATGCACCTAACAGAGCCATGGATACTTCAGGAGGATAACACCATTCAGGTGAACGTCCTCAAGCCTGGCTGGAAGGAGTTCATGCAGCAGCATGCATTTGGGAGGTAGGGGGCTGGCAGGGCCTGGCTGACCTGGCTGATGGGTCTGTCCTCCTTCAGCGCTGGCTCAACAGCCAGGGAAGATGAGCTGCCATGAAGAGGGGCTGCCTTTTCCTTTCTTGATGTTAGTTTATAGGAAACAAAAGGGGCAGTCTGGAGGCGGGTGAGGGCGGGAGGGGGTTTCCCAGTGTGTTCCGAACTTGGAGGGCTTATTTCCAAGCTGAAAAAACCCACAATAATTGGAGAGGAGCAGCATGAAGCAGCTCCAACGGGCCAAAACACAGCTGGCATTTGGCCAGAGCTTCTTTATGTTCATTCCAAGATACAAACGGTTCCTCCAGCAGACAGGAGGAGTAACACCCTGTAGCTGGCAAAGCTGATGGGTTTTCTGCCATTTCCATCTGGACTTTCCGGGTCAGTTCTGTACATGGCTGCCTTAGGAAGAAGGACTCCTGAGTTTTCTCCTGAAGAAGGACTCAGGTTTCCTCTGAGGTATGATGGGGACCTGCTTTGCCCTGAAGGATTTGTGCCTCATAGGAGTCTCCACGCACACTGCTCCCACGCTCTCCTCCCCTCTCTAAAACAGGAGGTGCAGCAGGGTGATGCCAGCTGCAGCAAAGGGGTTACAGAGCATGCACACAGGCCTTCATCCATGCACCCCACAACCACGGGAGAGAGGGAGGGAAGCGCAAAGAAGGCAGGGGTTGTGCTGGAAAGGGGCGGGGAGGGATGCAGAAAGGTTAAGGGAAGTCGGGTGGCAGGAGACGAGGAGGAGAGGCCCAGGCAGGACACCCAGTCTGCTGAGACATGGGGCAGGCAGGGATGCCTGAGCAGTCTCTGCACCTGCACCCAGGCCAGAGGGTCCCAGAGTGGAGAGCAGCCATGGCTCAGCCCATCCCAAGCATCACCCACCCTGGGCAGGACCCCAGGCAGTGAGCAGACAGAAGGGGACAGCAGCGGCTGGCATGCACACTGTGAAAGATGAGCTATGGGTTACACCCCTTTCGACTCCTCAAGATATCTTCTCACCTGCCCTGCAGCATCCACCCACACCTTCCTTCTATTTTTCTTCTTTTTTGATTTCCTTGGCCCCTAGGCTTGAGGCTCACTTTCTGCTGAACTGTGCAGTGCAGGCACAGGTTGAGGGACTGGAGCCACAGCCCCACATGGACCAGTTGCTGATACTTCCCTCCTCGAGGGCCTCCTGGCAACAGGGCCCAGACAGACTAGGAAAGGGGGATAGGCTGGTCCCAGCAGGCAGCCTTGGTCCTAAAATCTTTAATGCTGGGGCCAGCCCTGAGCTCACACGTATGTTGAACTACTCAGGCAGGCATTATGCTGACAGAGGTAGAAGAGGACATTGGCTGATCCAGTGTAAAGCTTGCACGTATGAAGTTAATCCATGAGCCCTGCCTGCCCTGGTCCCTGATGGAGGCCACTGACTCAGCACAAGGAGCTGAGGATGAGCTTGTCTTGTCCTTGCTCTGGCAGGTTTCAGTGCTCCCAGTGCTGGCACAAATGGTCATCAGCCAAGGTGCACATCCTGTTCCATATGCGCCGGAGCCAGCGCCAGTGCCGGGGAGTGATGCGGATGAGAACTTTTCGTCAGGCATGCAGGCGGTGCCTGCAAGTCAGGCAGTAGTCACCTGGCTGCTTGGCAATTGCTCTCACTGCCATAAAAAGTGAAAATCAGCTCAGGCCAAGACAAGTTCAACAAGTCCTGAGGCCCTGTCCTATCAGATCAATGAAAAAGCTTTTTGCTAGTCACGGCAAAACTGTATTTATGGGGCTTCAGGGTCTGGACATAGGGGAGGATGTGAACTCCTTCTGCATGCTGCTGCTTCACCCCATGAGGCTCTGGGGATGTGATGGGCATCATGAAGATGGAAGGAAACCTCCTGCCCCCCCCAGCGGCCTGACACCTCTCAACCTCTCACTTTCGTAGAGTGGAACAGCTGGGCTCCTGCAGGAATTACCCGTGGGGATGGCATGTCCCATGCTCCCTCCTTGGCCCAGATAACGAAGGGTTAATTGTCCAGATGACAAATGACCGCAAATGCTTGCAAAAGGTTTTGAAACAGTAGGTGGGACACCATCCTCTTCTGGTGGAATTTCTCATGCCCACTAAGCAGAGCTCTCAGCCCTAGTATCTAGACTCGTCACCTCCTGCGTGCTCGCTCCTTTCTTAACAGGGAGCAGAGAGCCTTTGGCTAGAGGGAGGCCTGGGAGCAATTTGTCACCAGCCAGGGAAGCCTTTGTGAGTCCAAGCTGTGTTTCGGTCTCCTGTCAGCCTTTTCCCACGCACAGTACCCTGGGGTGCCTCTCTAGAGAGGAACCACACTGATGAGCAGCAGCCTTTCCCTTTTTCCCTGGAAAATGAACAAGCCAGCCCTCCCTGGGCGCATAGGAGGCCTGGTGGAAAAGACAGAAACCAAATAAACCGGTTGGGCCCTGGAGATAAAACTCCTTTTGGTTTCATTTCTTGCACTCAGGCGTTGGCTCCTGTCCACTGAGGTCCTCAGGAAGCCCAGACAGGGAGCCTTCCCTCCGTGCTCTCCCTGGAGGAGGTAGCAAGGGGAGCGGGGCACCAACGTGGACACTGCTGCCTGTGCCCAGAGCAGCGTCACCCAGCCCCAAGCAGAGATGGAACAGCTGTGGATGGATTCCTGGAGGGACATATTTTATAATGTGATAGAGCAGGTGAAGCCAGAGCACAAGTGGGCCCTGAAGATGGACCAGAATCTTGCTCCCAGTGCCCTGCCTCGGGGCTGGAAGCAAGTGGTGGAGGAGCATGCATTTGCCAGGTGAGGGGCTATCACGGGGCTGGGGAAGGGGACAGCTAGTACCTGCCTTTAGCCAGCGACTGGTTTAGAGGGTAGGGTGAAAAGCTGTGAGCTCGGGAAAGAACTATGCCTTTTATCTACGAACATGCCCTTTCTGCTCCTGGAGGAAGCAATCTGCCTCTGCTAATCTCTCACTGCCCTGCTTGCTTGTGGCTTTTGGTTTAAACGACAAAACTTTAGGTCTGGCAGGGTCTCGTGCTCTCCTATGAGCTGTAAAACTGATGCAGCAGTGGGAGCCTTCCCCCTTCTCCCTGCCTCACTCAGCGCCAGGACACTGCCACGTCTCACCCCCACCTTGCTGCGCTGCTAGCCACGTCTGTGCAGCTTTGCTGTGCTTCGCTTTCCCTGTCTGTTAAACAGGGATTGCAGGGGTCGCATGGGGACACTCAACACCCACAATGGTTTCCTGCTTGTGGCAAGGCACCCAGGCTACTGCTTTGGCTCCTCCAGGATAATCCTGCTGGGAAAGTTTCCCCAGGGGGAGAGAAAGCAGGTTAGATCCTCTCTTTAATGCCAGCCAGAGTCTCTCTGCTGGGCGATGAACAGCCCAGGGCTGAGCAGTGTCATTCTGACTTCCTTGCTGGTACCCAGAGGGGAATGTGGGTTTGGGGAGCATCTGCTTTGTCTGGCAGGATGGTGGCAGACTCAGCCTGATTCACCTCTGGAAAGTCTCCAGAAAGGGAGGGTGAAGAGTGGCAAGTCTTGCATCCAGATTTGGTCACCTGCTTATAAGAAATAAGGCTGTAAGGAAGCTGGAGAGTGCCCAGATGGCCTGTGCTGGGGGGATCCAGCTTTGTGCTGGATTTGCTTTGTGCTCCTCTCTCCCCACTGGCCGCTGCTCCATCCGTGATTGGGGCTCCCCTCTCTTTCAGCTTCCGGTGCTCTCAGTGCCAGCACTCGTGGGTCTCAGCCCAGGCCGTTGTCCTCTTCCACATGTACCTGGACTGGGCCAGGGGATGTGGCTGGGTGAAGATGAGGACCTTCAGGCAGCAGTGCCACAAGTGCTTGGCTTGTGCGTGGGCAGAACCGATCTTCAGCAAGGCAAGTGCCAGGCAGGTCTCACTGGACTTGGTCACCAGCATCCGGCAGAAATGCTATGGAGAGCATGTTGCTCAGCCCCAGCTACAGAAGGTTGTGATCGGTGGGCATGGCGGGCCCCACAAGAGCGAATACTGTGAAGCCTGTCACCAGGGGGTGCATTGGGTGCACAAAGACCAGGGCCATCACGTGAAATCCAGCTACAAGGGGCCATATGAGAAGCACAGAGATTCAGCCTTGCCCTGGGGAAGCAGCATGCCAGCAGCACCTGTGCAGTCATCTGCTGGAGCCCTCCACCAGGACCTGGATAGATTTAAGCCCAATTCAAGAAACACCGTTCCCTGTTGTGTCTGTGCCATTTTTATCTTCTTTTTCATTTTTCTTACCTATCACTTTCTAGAAAAGCTGGCTGGGGCACTTGGCTTGTGAATTGCTTGTATTATCTCCATCAACCTTGCTGGCTTGTTCTGCATTAATAGCACTGTGTCCCTGACAGTGCCTGGGCACTGGGATGAAGGCGGCCAGCGTGGGAGGTTTCTAGGACCCCCTGCCCAAAGCTTTGGGAATCTCCCACAAAGCGGAGCCGCATCGCTCACTCGTTACCTTTCTACTATTTTCTCTGCAGTTCATATAGTCAGTCTGGGTAGTCGAGGAACAGGCACAGCGCCGAGTGACCTGCTGTGCACTGCAAATAACAAGGGCTGGAGTGAGCAACTCCCGCTAACTCTGGACTCCGAAGCTGTTTGTTGGGGCTTTTTGGCAACCTGTCCAACAAGGATCAGCCTTGCAGAGTCACTGAGGCAGCCGCATCTGTCACCTTCTGACTTTGCAAATGGTTTGATGCTAAATATGGACAAGGTAGAAAAGAGATAGGATTTCATGATTGAATTAACTGAAGAAAGATGGGCTGAAGGAAACAAGTTGGCCAAATCCAGCATCCTCAATGTAGCTTGTCAGGAGTCAACCCATGGCTAACCCACGTGCTCTCCTGCCTGCTGTGTCAGGGCCACTTACACTACTTACTTGCGGTTTGCTTTTTCCCCCTTTTGCTGGTGTAAAGAATCTCCTATATTTTCATAGGTAAAAACCTGCAAGCTACTAGTATAAAAAAAAAAAACCAAGAAACCCTGTATGGTCCAGGGGCCGTGTGGATTTTGCTTCCAAAGCGCACCATCCCACTTATCCCAACAACTCTCTTCCTCCCCCAGCACCTTGCCTCCTCCATGGCCTGACGCGGAGCCAGCAGATGGAGCTGCAAGATCTCTGGAGCCCAGCTCCAGCACCGCACTGGGACCAGTGACCCACCAGCACTGGGATGGGCCAGTCTTCCTCATGTGGGGGATGTCCTGTCTCCATCCCTGTGCCCAGCTGGCTCCCTGTAGCATTGCCCACCCAAGCCATACCCTATGTGGAGATTTTCTTCTCGAGGGGACAGAAAATGCCAAACTTTCCAGATGCAGGGACTTTGTGACTGCTGCAGTGACACCCCCAAAATATTTATTATTTGAGCAACCCCCAGCCTTAAGGAACAAGGTGAAGGCTCAATAAACAGTTTAAAGGCATCAAGATCTCCATGAGAATAACTAAAAACTGTCTGGAGATCCTGTGCTTCGGCCTCTGCCTGGGCAGGGTATGTCCGCTGCCCTCCGCAAGGCATCTCCCAGGCACCTCTTGCAGCCTGGGGATGACAACCCCAGCAGGTTTCACACTGGAGCTTTCTGTTCTGTTCAAAGTTCTCTTAGGGCTTCCCGTGATGAGGGTCCTCCTCGATATTTGCTGAGGGAATGAGTATCTGTGTTTTCGATGGGGCAGCAGTGGCTGAGGGAATGCTGGGGACCCAGAGGGCTGCTGTGCTCATGCATAAGTGGACCTGTCTTTCTGGAGGAGACTTTGTGCTTGAGGTGGCCTGACGCTGAGATGCTCTACCAGGAAGGAGGAGGCTGATCCTGCTGCCTGGACAGCCTCTTCCCCTCCGCAGCGGCTCTCCCATACTAACCTCTCCCTGCTGGCATTATGTCATGAAGGCCAAGTTTCTTGCTGCAGCTGCCTGCAGCCTTCTTCTTTCCATGTTGAGGTTTTCCCAGCCCCAGTCATCATTTCTGGCCATCTGCAGCCTCCCAAACCACCCAGCAGCTGAGGGGAACTCCCTCGCCTCCGCCTGGGAAGCCATCTCTGGCAGAGATCACATCCCTGTGGGGATCCTTATTTTCTTGCCTGGGTCTCTGCTCTTTTACAAGGGCAGAGCCCTCCCTCAGTCCATCCGACACTCTTGCCTGTGGGATGCATGATGAACAACCAAGAGCACAATACAGTGTGTGGTGCACAGCCCCAGGGGTCTTGGGCAGGCTGTGGTTGTGCCCCGCCGCATGCCACAGCAGCCTGTCCATGGCTGCGCTCCACTGCAGCCAAGTCTCAGCTTACTCCCGGCACTTACAGTTGGCTGGGAGAGGCAAACGTCACCTGTTGAGTGTTTCACTGTCTTTTCACTGCAGTCAGACTGATAAATTGCTGCCTCCGTGTCTGTCTTCCTGGAGAGTGGCTCTCACTGCTCTGGCGGGCTGCAAGGTGCCAGCAAATGCAAGGTCTGCTATTGCTCTCCTTTTTCTCATCTGCTGCCTATTCCCAGGCCTCCCTGCAAGGAGGAGCAGTGACTGTAGAGGTGCATGGGGGTAGGTGCTTGGCAGCCCGGCTGGTCAGGGAGCAGGGAGCAGGGAATGCATTGCATCAGGGATTTCACTGAAAAGCTATCAAAGGGAGGAGGAGGAAAGTATTTATGACCAATCCCTTCTGGGGCAGAAACGTTTTGTAACATGCCTGGGAGCTGTCTAGGCCCAGATCCTACAGCTGATGGTTTAATACCCAAGGGACCATGCTTTGCTTTTGCTTTTTCTTTCTCCTCCCCTTCATCCTTCTGATGTCTTTCGGCCTGCTGGCATACCCACAAGGAATGAGCCAGGCCGTCCACCCTCCACCCTGCTGCCTGCTGTGAACCCAGAAGAATCCAGTAGAGATCAGTGGAGTTATTTCAGATCTGTGCCTTAGGAAAATGGGGATCAGTAATCCAGCTCCAAGCCCTGGATTCGGGCACATGGAAGGAAACAGTTCCCATGATTTTAAGCTCTCTCCAAGGACTGCATTTTCACCGACTGTGGTGTGGAGAAGACATGCCCAGCAGAGCTGTGTCCCTGCCTCAACTTCCGTGTGTGTTTGCTGCAGAGCAACTGCTTTGCTAATTCCCCTTGACCACCCCTCAGCCCGCACTCCCTGGCCTGACAGCTCTCCCCTTCTCATGAAGCCCTGGGCTGCCGGTGGCTCTCTGCTGGGGACTGTTGCTCGCCCTGGCTCAGGCAGGGGGAAAG